GAGCCATTCAGCAGGAAATCGCGGAGGTCGTCCCTGAATACCACCAGCCGCCTCCTGCATCTGTGCCACTCAGCTACGCCCAAGTTGTTGCCAGGCCGCCCCCACCGATTTCTGCGACTGTTCCCCTAAATTACACCGAACCCGTCGCGAGGCCCCAGGCCTTTGGAGAAATTGTCTCGCCTACATACGCCGGCGTCACCCACGTGCCCCGAGTGCCGCCTACCATGCACTCATATCAGCAGCCGGCTCGTCAATCGCGTTCTGCGACATGGATGCGACCCGCAAACCAATGGCGCACTGCTGTCAATCGCCCCATCTGCTTTGCTTGTGGTTGCGTCGGTCATGTAGCACGCTATTGCAATCGTGTGCAGCAGCCGCAGGTCGCCTCCAACTTTCCCAGCCAGTCAAGCCGCTCTTATGACCAACCGCCGCCTATGTCACCGTCGTCCCGCCCCGTTCCGTCTGCCCGCCGTTCACCATCTCCACGACGTCGCTCACTGTCGCCAATGCGGCCACGTCCACTCGAGGGCGACCAGGAAAACTAGTCGTTGCAGTCCACGAGGCAAGGGCTGCGACGCTGTCGAACTGCGGAAGCCCTCAGGAAAGCCCGTCGAACGTGATAGACGTGCTTGTGGATGGCGTTCGTGCATCTGCCCTTGTAGATACTGGAGCCGCCGTATCCGTGATGGACGAAAAACTTAGCCGATTACTGCGCAATGTGACCACGCCGCTTTGTGGGCTCTCCCTCCGTACAGCCAGCGCCCAAAGTATTCACCCTACGGCGATGTGCACAGCCCGCCTTATGATTCAGGACGTGATTTATGCGGTCGAATTCACGACGTCATCCTAGGATGGGATTTTCTCTCCCGCCACGACGCCGTCATTCCTTGCGCACCAGCAGAAATAGAACTCACGCCATTCTCTTCTTTGACGCCGGCCGACAGTTTATCCGCTGCAAGCAAGGTACTCGTCAGAGACGACACTCAAGTGCCTGCAAACTCGTCCGTTGCGGTGTCGCTCTACTGCGCAAGCCTTTCTGACACCGCTTGCACTCCTCTCGCCATCTCATTGTGTTTTCATAAGAAAAAGCTTGCTGGTTCCTTTCGCGACCGTGCAAGTCACTCACGGCAGCACCACTATTTTCGTCGTGACCTCATCTCCGTACAGCGTTACGTTGGTGCGAGGGGAATGTCTCAGCAGCGTGGAACCCATCGAAGACACGCAAGTTATGGATCAACCCGATGACATGCACTGCTCAAGTTCCTGTACGCTTGGTGCTGTTTCCACATCCGCTTCATCATCCGATGATATATTCGGTCTCTGCTTACCCGACGACCTTACGCAGGGCCAGCGTTCCCAGCTTTTGAGCCTGTTGGAAGAATTCTGCTCTTCTTTCGATGTCGCTCAACCTTCTCTCGGCCGCACATCCACCGTTACGCATCGCATCGACACAGGCGCACAGCCACCGCTGCGGCAACGTCCATATCGCGTATTTCCCACAGAACGCCGTGTAATCAATGAGCAAGTCGACGACATGCTTCGCCGCGATGTTATTCGCCCCTCTAGCAGCCCCTGGGCGTCTCCTGTCGTTCTCGTCACGAAGAAGGACGGTTCTGTGCGGTTCTGTGTGGACTACCGACGCCTCAACAAGATCACTCGTAAGGACGTGTATCCACTACCACGGGTAGATGACGCGATTGACAGCCTGCACGGAGCAGAATTCTTTTCATCCCTCGATTTGCGCTCAGGGTACTGGCAAGTACCTATGGCCGAGGACGCTCGACCGAAGACCGCTTTTGTCACCCCCGACGGCTTGTACGAGTTCAACGTTATGGCGTTTGGGCTGTGCAATGCGCCCGCCACCTTTGAGCGCATGATGGATACAGTTCTGCGTGACCTGAAATGGCACACGTGCCTGTGCTACCTCGATAACGTCGTTGTTTTCGCTCCTGACTTCTCGACGCATCTTCAATGCCTTCGGCATGTTTTAACGCGTCTGAGCAACGCCAGTCTGCAACTGAACCTAAAGAAGTGCCAATTTGCAGCTCGGCAGCTGACAATACTCGGCTACGTCGTGTCCAAGGACGGAATTCTCCCTGATCCAACCAAGCTTCGAGCCGTGACCGAGTTCCCCAAGCCGACATCCGTCAAGGAACTGCGCAGTTTCGTAGGACTGTGTTCCTACTTTCGGCGCTTCATTCGAAACTTTGCGACTATCGTATCGCCGCTGACGAAGCTTCTCAAAAGTAACGTGCCTCTCCATTCGTGGTCATCACTGTGCGACGACGCTTTCAGAACACTTCGTCGTTTGTTGACGTCGCCTCCCATACTCCGCCACTACGACCCTACGGCCCCTACAGAGGTACACACGGATGCCAGTGGTGTCGGCCTCGGCGCTGTCCTTGCGCAGCGCAAACCAGGGTTCCCGGAATATGTCGTGGCGTACGCGAGCCGTACGCTTACGAAAGCCGAGACTAATTACACAGTCACCGAGAAAGAATGTTTGGCAATCGTCTGGGCCCTTGCAAAGTTCCGACCTTATTTCTATGGTCGTCCATTTGATGTCGTCACCGACCACCACGCACTATGCTGGTTGTCATCATTGAAAGATCCCTCAGGCCGTCTCGCCCGGTGGGCACTTCGCCTGCAAGACTATGACATCCGCGTGCTGTACCGCAATGCAAGGCAACATGCTGACGCCGACGCCCTGTGGCGCTCTCCCTTGCCTGACAACAATGCCAACAACTCAGTGTCTCACCTTGCCATTTCTTCGGATTAGCATTCATGCCATTGCTACTGAACAGCGCAAGGATCAATGGATTGCCTCACTGATAGACTTGCTGACTGATCCATCCACTCCATCCACTTGCGCATTGCGTCGTCAAGCCCACCATTTCGCCGTTCGCGACGACCTCCTCCACCGACGCAATTACAACGGTGACGGCCGCCAGTGGCTACTAGTCATACCTCGCAGTCTGCGCTCTGACATATGCGAATTCTTTCATTCTGATCCGCAATGTGCGCACTCCGGGGTATCGAAGACTTACCACCGCATTCGCCAACGGTACTTTTGGCGCGGCATGTACCGCTACGTGCAGAAATTCGTTCGCTCCTGCATAGAATGTCAGCGCCGCAAAACTTCAACGCAACTGTCGCCGGTAGGTCTGCAACCTCTACCTTGCCCTGCCAGGCCGTTTGGGCACATTGGCATCGATTTGTATGGGCCACTTCCACTAACGTCAGCTGGTAACCGCTGGGCCATTGTTGCTGTGGACCACCTCACGCGATACGCCGAAACTGCCGCTCTCCCCGCGGCTACAGCGAGCGATGTGGCCTCCTTCCTGCTCCAACGATTCATGCTGCGACACGGTCCACCTCAGGAACTTCTCAGTGATCGAGGCTGCGTCTTCCTGTCTGAAGTCGTCGAAGCCCTTCTCAAAGAGTGCAACGTTATTCACCGCAAAACTGCTGCTTACCACCCGCAGACGAATGGCCTCACGGAACGCTTCAACCGTACGCTCGGCGACATGCTTTCCAAGTACGTCGCCGCCGATCACACAAATTGGGATGACATTCTACCCTTCGTCACCTACGCATATAACACCGCCCCTCAAAGCACTACTGGCTTTTCACCTTTCTTTTTATTATATGGAAGGCACCCGTCGCACACCATCGACACTATACTTCCGTACAAGGCAGATCCGTCCGAGTGGGAGCCTATTTCTGCTACAGCCAAGCTTGCTGAAGAGTGTCGAGAGCTTGCAAGGACATTTACAGCGCATGATCAAGAGCGGCAAAATGCCATTCGCGCTGACGCCAGCACTACTGCGCCCACGTTCCTCCTTGGAGCGCTCGTCTGGCTCTCCATCCCTACTACTGCAACTGGCCTATCTTCAAAACCATTGCCCAAATACGAAGGCCCCTACCGTGTCGTCAAATGCACTTCCCCAGTCAACTACTTGATTGAACCCATCGAACCATCTTCGGACATGCGTCGTCGAGGACGCGACATTGTTAACGTGGAGCGCCTCAAGGCCTACCATGACCCGCTCATTGTAACCAGCTGTTAGGTCGCCAGGCGGCTCCCTTTTCAACCCGGGGTAGTTGTGGTAAAGCCTTTGAACAGTAGGTCGTCCTCTGCAGCGCCTTCTAGTGGGTCGCCCTTTCCATAAGAAGAAGAGCAGCTCGCGCAGAGAGTCGATCCCCGCTTTGACTGTCGCTGTCGTGAATCATCGCTGAGTGTCGGCCAATAAACCACTTAACAATATATATATATAATTTTTTGTGTGGGCACTTAGCAGTATACCTATCCTCTTCATCTGTACATTATCATCGTCGGCAGGTATTGGCTGTGTGTCCTCATCATTGTCGTGTATGGGTGCATCGTAGATGTCGCCTGCTGGCTATCATGAAGCATTCAACCAAGTCTTTTACGTTATTTTGCCAACCTTGATTTGTGTTTCTGTCGTGCCAAGGATTACTTTGGTCATGAAAGAAATTGTCGTAAAACTGTGTGGACTTTCTTTACATCCTTGAAAAGGCTGCATCACTCTGATAGGAATCCAGCCTCAAGAAACCTTGCTTGTAGTGTTATAACACATTTGTACAGCAGCACCGATGATGTTGGCATGACACCCAGTATGCTAGATTAGAAATGCTGATTGTAACACTGGTAGTGTTAACCCGTGTCATCTGTGGCCATTTTTTAACAATTACTTGTGACCCCTTCTTTCATAATTGCTACACTTCCATAACAAAACTGTACATAATGCCCCCTATCTTTTTCTTGGCTTTAGTATTTCTTCAGTATCCTGAGTTGTGTCTAATAAGAGAACGGGCTCCTGAACTGATTCACCTTATTCTGTTCGCTTGTAGTATTATGAATCTTTAAGCAACATGTGGCAAACAGTATCAGTGCATCTTCAAGGTAGCATATACATACTACATACGTAGTCGTTTCATGGGCAGCATGCTAATGTCCATTCATGGCCTGTTGCCAGATTGCGATGCTGGTGCAAAAGTATCCGTCTGTGGAGAACCGGAGCCTGCAGTTCCTGCGGCATACCATCGAGCTGCTCACCAATCATTTCCATATGCCCACTGACAAGGCAAGTGTCATTACACTCGTTCACTTTGTCAATAAGCTGCACATTCTAACCTATATTGCTGCATGTGTTTATTTTGTTATATTTGGGTTTCACCCGAATACTTCTCATCATGACCCCGTCAACCTTCTTTGTATTCTAGTACTCCAGTAATGTTCTGCCAACTTCATTGCTAACACACATTCTTGTTTCCTCATTTTTCCTTGCCCTAGCTGTCACCTTATTTGATTACATGGAGCAATGGCTTATGCTTGTATAATGCCCTTGTTGAGACCAAAAATTGTGCTTATTAGGACTTATTAGGATGGACATATTGTAAGAGAAAAAACGAAAAAACAACAGTCTGCGGTATAGTATAATTGTAGAACATTCAGCTCATCCGACGTACCATGGGAATTGAAGTTGCTAATAATCCATCAGGAACTTATGTCCTGGTGTTCTTTAGCTGATGGTGCATTGACATATTTTAAACATTTATCTAGAAATACTAGGGCAAGCACCAACATTGCCTGGCAACTGTTTCTGGTGCCCTTTCACAGTGCTTGCGTAATCATGAAATTCTGTGATTGCTGCCACAATGTACAATCTCTGAAATGAACTACTGGCACCTAGTCTTTAGTTTGACAGAGACTCAGAAAAAGTATACTTGAAGTTGAATGTAGCTACATGTCAATCTTCAGGGGACGTCTCAAGAGCTGCGCAGGTCTCACTAAAATTACTGAAAAGTTATGGTGTATCTGTAATCATGTAGTACATACAGGAAATGTGTGTCGAGGGTCGCATGAAATCTTGTTTGTCCAAGATGAAACATTAGCAGAACAAAAAACACTGAAAGCACCTCCATGTGGCAGCTTCTCTGCACAGTTCCCCCGCTACGAAGGCTACTGTGAGGTTCCCAAAACATTAGTAAATATATTTACACCTTGGTCGGCAAGGTTTTCTTCAATGCATTGTAAATAACTACCGTATGCTGATGCCTGGTTTGTTGCTTGTGCAGCCTAAGCTTTGTTAATAGGCTTCAACCACAAATGCACTGATAGGTATCTTTTATGAAAGGGCGCATTACATTTATTGCCTATGGCGAAAACTAGGATCTGTGTTGGCTACCACTGAGCACTGTTTATAGATACTACATGTATCAGCAAGTCAATTAGTGATTGATCAGCCAAGAGCAGTTAGGGAGAGAGGGAGGCTGCAGGCCAGACGTGTCTGAGGTTTACCTTGCTGGATGGCTTGTGCAGTGTCTCTTGCTGAACATGTCGGAGGCCTTGCCCTCTGTCAAACTTGTTCAGCTTGTCAGACATATCCAGCACGTCTGGACGTGCCAGACACGACAAGAGACGTTTGGCTTGCCAGACGTGTCTGAGGCCTTGCCCACTGTTTTTAATGTACGAGAGAAAGTGAAACATAATTGAAGATATGTAATAGTTCAATACGATTACTGTGGTGCAGATCTTGCGCAACTGGCTTTGTGCTCCTGGCCCATCCGGGCAACCTGGAGAGCCAGCTGTCGCAGGTGCGTCAACTAGCAGGAATGGACATGCGGGAGTTAGCAGTGCTCTGCCCCCGCCTGCTGACCGTGCCTGCCGAGAACTTGATTCGTGTCGAGCGGCTGCTGCAAGCACACGGCATTACGCCGGCCCAGGTGCAGCGCTGCATCCGCATCTACAGCCTCAGCCCAGAGACTATTGAGAAGCGGCTGAAGGAGATCACCAAGGTTCGCAGGCTTTCGTGTGGAGTTTTGTATATGTTGGCAGGACATCTCAATTGGTACTTGGTAACTCAGCAACTACACCTGATTGCAGTTTGTTGCTGTGTCTAGTTTGCGTACATAATCTAGCTGCACTATATGTATTTTTACTCATTCCTTAAAAGAAGTTCTCTGTACAGTCGGTTGACATTGGGACCTTCCTCTGTATCGGTATAACCGCAATTGTAACTAATATTACTATGCACAATGAAATAATGTCATGTCATAAGTTGGCATAAAAAAAGACATACTTTATTCATCGATGCTAAAAAAAGCTTTCTGCAGTCACTAAAATTCAATTATTTATTCTTAGTTAATTGGCCAGTCAACAGGGTTAATGTTTTTGTGTGCCCTTGGACACATAACTGCAAAAATGGTTTTCACTAAAACAGGCGAAAAAAAAAAAAAGATTTGTTGTTTAATACACACTCTTTTGCCACACTAGTGCGCCTTTCTCGATTTCATGTTTGCTGTTCAGCAGGGGTACCCGTTACTGGTTTTTGTTAAAGAGGGCCCTGTAACACTTTTTGATCACGGTCAGAAAACTGCAGCTGATCGGTAGTAGAGGCTTCCTACAACACGTGAGCGAAATAATATAGTGCAGCACGTGGCCTGGAACTCGCAATAAGTTATCAAAGTCAGCTAAATATTCCTTTCTCTTCTCTCGACAAATCAGGCAATATGCCCAAAAATCACACGTAGTAAGCCCATCTATCAGCCATTGTCTGATTTCAACATGGGGCGCCCACTCGTTACAGAGATAGCCGCGGGATGCCGCTACTTGTCCACGCGTGTGCGTTATCACACTGAAAAAGTCGCGCATTCGAAAAAAAAAAGAAAGAAGTGCTCAAGGTCACGAAGCGCGCATGACGTTTTTCTGTGGCCCTGCCATCCTTCCCTGCTTAGCTTCCAGGGCTTTCGTCAGGACGAGAAAAAGAGAAAATGCAATTGCAGCATGCGACAAACCTTTGTAACTCCATTCACGCTGGACAGATTCCTAAAATTCTTGTGGCGTTAAATTTGTGAAGCAATAAGCTCTTTCGGTGAATTCATTGAATGGTTACTTTAAAAAGTGTTTCAGGGCCCCTTTAACATTGGATTGCAAGAAGAGAGTTAATGTGTGATAAATAGAAAACAGGGTACTCGGAAAGAAAAAAAAAATGTGAAAATTTTCCGTACTTGGCTATTGGATGCAGTCGCTTATCAGCCATGCCAACCGATGGAGACAATCTGCGCAGCAGCCGTGCCGAGTCTGCCCTCCACGTGAGCAACAAAACTGGGGAGGGAGCGAAGCATGTAGCAAAGGGCATTTCAGGCTCACTAACGTGAAATCTGGTGAGCAGCGGAAAATGCAGTCTGCTTCTAGTTAACGCGCATACTGTGAATCTTTATTGTTCAACTATGCAAAGAAAATCTCCTACTGGCACAACGTTGCAGGTTAAGGTCCAGTGCCCACATACACGGGGTGGCCGGTGAACTGTTGTGCGGCACGTTGTCTCTCGCTAGTGAGAGAACGTTTCAATAGCCAATGCATGTCATTCGCTCTCTGTCGCCATGTGGCAAACTCTAAGGTGGTGGCAAAAGAGAGCAAACTCACTTAGCGAGAGAAGGCGGTCTCTCTCATGCGCTTAAGCAAATTGACCATCACGATAGCAGCAGCCACAGATGACGGTACATGCTGACTCCTTAGAGACCCTAAATTGCTTTACCCTTAAACACACAGTTTTGTCTTAAGACATGGGAGTTTTGTGCTGGGGTCACATATAAAGGAATTTGCAGGATGATGACAATTTCAGCTGTTGTATTGCTCATATGAAAAGTAAGAACAGATTTAGTGTATCATGCAGGACATAAAAGTTGGTCGATGTAGCAGACATTTGTTTTATATTTTTCTTGGATAGTATAGATAATTCATCACTTGGTTACTGTATTCACTCTATTATATTGTGATTACAAAGGTAACATGAGGGGTGACTTCTCACGGCATCCAGGAAAAAAAAATTTTAGTGTTTCAGCATTCGATTGTCATGCAAGAGACGATTGTAGGTAGCGAAAATGTGCCAAAAACTCACATTCGAGTAAACGCAGTACATTAGACATACTTTCCAGTCCTGTTTGCTGTGAAGGTATTGCTGTAAATAGAGAATCACACGTATCTCTTTGAAAGTAGAGCATCTTATTTGATGAAAAGTTTTTCCTGATTCAGGCATCGAACTCGAGACCAACCTATCTGAAATGTTTGCTTTACTGCTTGAGTTAACCAGCAGACTAACAGTGTTCGCACTTGCTATAGATTGTACGGGAGGTGTGGGACCAGTGAAGCCATTCTTTATGTGCCCATCTAATGGGCCGTCCATTTCAGCCATTTCAGCCGCCACTGAATGGCTGAAGCTTAGTGAACAGCATGCCTCCCACTTGGGGTTCTTCATCTGCAACGTCATTTTGACGTTGCAGAGACGTTACAGAGCATTCGCAACCCTTTACACAAATGTGACACAAATGGATGGAATGTGCTTTAACGCGGCGGAAGCACACTCCTTAGATCCGTGGCTGCACCAAGCTCAGAGTCCGTCTGTAAACTCTGACCATGTGGTTGTGTCAGCCCTCTAATAAGGTTCAATGTGGCTGGCCATCTAACACACCTGTTAAGGCGGGTACACATTACCTGCATTGCTCGCAAGCATCTGGGAGGCTTTCACATGCAAGGACGGGCTTTTCAAATTTCGGAAAGTTTCGACCATAGCATTTGCCTGATTGTGCTGTCTCGACGGGGCCGCAGTGATGGTGGTTGCTTTGCGATGAACACGTTTTGCTATCCGCCCCAAAGTGATAACAAAAGTGATCATTGCTTACCATTGTCATAAACTGGTCCGGAGGAAGCATATCATTCGTATGCGGAACTTTAGAGAGCACCAGAATTCTGACACGCGTAGGCACGCAAGCGGCGTGAAAAGAGGATGAGAGAAGGTGAGCGTGAAACCCTTGCCAGTTCCCGCCTAGCCTTCGCAAGCCAAATCTCTTCCCTACCTTCTCCGGTATTTGAGCAAGAGGTCACGTGTACATGAGGTGCCCGAACAAGCCCAACACCCAAGCACGCAAGCGGCGTTGTTTTGTTGAGCAGTGTTACTTTATGGTCTACTGCCTGTTTCTACGGGATGGCTTGAAAATGCTGGCTTAGACGCGGTAGAGTAGATGAGCACAATGAGTGCGTGAACGAGTAGGAGCGTTAGATTGGCTTCTATGGCTGTCTGCTCGATTCACTGTGCTCGTGGACACGAACGCATGCGAAACAACACCACATTCGCCCAGCATCTCGTTGCAATTCATGGGGAAAACATAAGAAAAAAAGACACACACATTTCCTTATTGCGTGTCAATTTTTATCTGAAGTTTTATTAATCTCTCAAGCAACAAATTATATGAACTATGCATGTCGTGTTAAATAATTTCCTCATGTCACGTGCCACTGTTAACGTCAAAGCACAGTTGTCTATGTAGAGGACCAACGTCAATGTGCTGTCATGTATGTAGGGCAATTCATAGGTGCCCTCATTCTCTGGGCGCGCGTCCGCGGAAAGAAGAGGGAGCGGCGTTCATCTAGAAATGTGACCCATTTCCGCGGCGCGTAGCGTTGCATGTTTTGGTAGATTTGATCGTAAGCGCCCTATCTACGCATTGCGCTTGTCAGCTCAAAATTGTAAAACCTGTCGAGTGGACCTTTAAAAGAGCGCAGAATTAAAGTTCCTGGGATACCCGCCATGGTGGTCTAGTGGCTAAGGCACTTGACTGCTGACCCGCGGGTCGCAGTATCGAATCCTGGCCGCGGCAGCCGCATTTTTGATGGAGACGAAAATGCTTGAGGCTCATGTGCTTACACATTAAAGAACACCAGGTGGTCCAAATTTCCAGAACCCTCTACTACAGCGTCTCTCATAAATCAAATGGTGGTTTTGGGACGTTAAACCCTAACAATTATTAGAGTTCCTGGGATGTTGTCCCACGCTGCAGCCCCTCCATCGATGCACATTTTTTTGTCCACTCCCAAGTCTCATCTGACTTGAACGTTGAACGAGAACGCCATGGCTAGGACAACTTTTTTTTATATGCGGCACTACAATGACACAGACTACTTGAAGCGCAACTGGAAATGACAAATGGCTTGCCTCGCCACACTCACAAAGATCAAAATGGCAGCCTCATGTGTGTACTTAAGCTAGGTGTTGGCTACTAACGGCTACAATACCGCCTCAATGCCATGAGTTGTGCAGCACTTTTCTCCGTGAAAAATGGCGCGTTTTTCAACATTTTCGAATCGAAGCCGACCCTAGATCTTGATACAAAGAAATTTAAAAAAGCTATCTGCCTAAATTCGAATTAGTACGGTACGTTCGCAATGCCGTAAAACGAGCCGACACAGCACAACAGATCGCCCTAGAACAGCTCATACTTTCTCAAGCCTCTCAAAAAGACCAGTATGATTCCCACCGCTGGGATGTTTTATATACATACGCTCGGTTCACTGTTACTCTGTCATCGCATCCCCCCGCAGGGGCGCCTGCACAAGTAGGCATTTGGTGTGTAGCGACACCACGGACCCGAGCTAAGGGGGGAGTTTTGACTCCCTCCCACGCCTAGCCGTGCGTGGCTTTGCCGTGTCCGGGGAAAAGGGGATCCTGGGGGTTGAGCCGACGCTGGGTGATTGGACCGTTAAGGCCCCCCGGCAGAGGCAACACACCCCTTTGGACCCGGCTTCACGTAGACGGCACCCTTGGGCTGACCCACCCATGGGAAATCGGCAGTCGCCTTTTCCTTTCTCTCTCTCCTTACATCTTCGTCTTTATCTCTTACTATTTATCTGTCCTGTCTTCTACTCTCTTCGTTTACTTCTGTTTTTCCTGGCGGCAAGGGTTAACCTTGTGTGGCTATCCAAACTGGGGTAAACCATATTGGGTTATAGTAACTGCGTA